CCTTTTTTACTCCTTTCTCTTAATAATTTTCTTTTTTAATCTTAATTTTAATAAGGGCTGCTTTTTATAAGCAAATTCCTTATAATTACTTAATAAAGAGTTATTACTTTTTTATTAAAAATTATAATTATTTTAATATAAAGTTATAAAGTTAATTAAAGCTTATAATAAGGCTTATTTATTAATTAATTTAAAGGCTTTTTATAAAAAGGCTTTATTATAAGATATATTTTAAAATATTATTAGCTTAAGATTTTAAGAATTTAAGGCTTTTTTTAGGTATTTATTTTTATTAGTTTTAATAAGGTTTTTAAGGCCTTAGGCATAGGCTCCTTTTAGCTAAGGGGATTGCAAATAGGTAGGCTATAATTTGCTATAACGTAGTTAAGGGGAAAATTCCTAAAACAAATCTTGGTAGCCATAGCAAGGTTTAAACCTATGCTTTCCATAAAGAAAAGCTAAATGCATAACTAGTGCATTACATGGCCTTTAATTTTTTATAATTATATTATAAATTTAAATAATAATAATATTATATTAAATTAAAATATAAATTTAAATAATAATAATATTATATTAAATTAAAATATAAATTTTTAATATTATAATTTTATTTATTTATTTTAATTATTTTGTAAAAATTTTAATTAAATTATACTTTATAAAAGTTATAAAATTTCTTTAATTATAATTATATATATTTTTAAAAATATTTTTTTTATAATTTATAATTATTTAATATTATATAAATATTAATTATTTTTATTTTTTATTTTAAATATTAATAAATATGCTTTATTTTTATATATTCTTATTATAATTACTTTATATATTAACTTTATATATATATTAATTATTTAAATAATATTAAAGAAGCTTTATTTTTAAACTTTAATTAATTAAAAATTAAATATTTATATATTTTATTATTAATATTTTATTAAAATTACTTTAATTAAAATATTAATTATAAAAATATTAAAATCTTTTTTTATAATTATTATATATTTTCTAATATTAATTATTTTACTTTTAAGAACAACTTTAATAATTTTAATAATTTTTTTATAACTTTATTTATATAATTAATATATTAAATTATTTTATATTATTATATTATATTTATTTATTATAATATTTATTTATAATTATTAAAATATAATAAAAACTTTTTATTTAATTTTTTATAAAATTATTATAATTTTTTTTAAAAGTTTTTATAATAAATTAATTAAAAATAATATTTTAATTATTATTAATAATTATAAACTTTATATTAACTTTATTTATTATTTAATATATATTTATAATAATATTATTTTTATTTATTATTATTAATATTATTTTTATATTATTATTATAAAAATTTATAATTATATTAAAATAAATTTTATTATTAAATTAATATTTTAAATTATTATATAAATATTATAATAAGTTTTTAATAAAATTAACCTTTTTTAAAAATAATATTTATTATTAAATAATTAATTTTAATTAATATTAATTACTTTTAATTCTTTATTTTTAAATAATTTTATTAATTTAAAATAAATAATATAAATATAATATTAATTTAAAATAATTAACTTTTTAAAAAAATATATTTAAATTTAATTATATTATTAAAAACATAATTTATTATATATTATTTATATATATATATTATATTTAATTAACCTTAAATATATTATGGTTAAATGGTTTTATAATGAATTTACGGTAAATTTACTAGGAAACGGTAGGTTATCGTGGATTTACGGTTCCATAGTGAATTTACGGTAAATTCACGGTTAAATGCATTATAAATGCTTAAGGCATTAATATTTATAGGTTAAAACTAGCCCCCGTTATTAGCTAGCCTTAAAATAAAGATAATTAAGATATTTTTATATTAATAATTAAAATTAATAATATATTATAAGGATTTTATTATAAGATTAATATAAATTTTAATAATTTATATTAATATTAATAAGCTTAAAAAAGTTATATTTTATGTAAAATTTAATTAATTAAAGTTTTTTATATTTTTTATAAATTTTTATATTATATTTAATTTTATTATAATTATTAAATTATTATTTATTTAATTTATTATAAATTATTCTTTTTTAATATTATTATTTATTTTATTAATTAATTATTTTTTTAATAATTGTTTTAAATAAAAGCTTAAAAGTTTTTAATATTAATTATTATTTTAAGTTATATTTAAATTTTATTAACTTTTTAATATTTTATAAATATTATATTAATTTTTTAAAATAATAAACTTATAAATTATTATTTATATTTTTTTTATTATATAATTAATAATTTTTAAAATTAATATTAAAAAGCTTTTTTAATAAATAAAAATTTTATTTTTAATATAATTAAATTATTTAATAGTTTATTAAATATTAAATAATATTTAAAACTTTTAATATTAAAAATAAATAAAAAAAATTAAATTAAAATTTATAAATAAATATTAAATTAAGAAATAATAAAATTTAAATTTTAAAGTAAAATTTTAACTGTTTTAAATATAAATTAAATATTATTTTTTATAAACATTTTATTATAAATTATTATAAATATAAAAAAACTTAAAATTAATAATATAATTAATAAAAGCTTAAATAAAAAATTATTTTAATTATTATATATATATTTTAAAAATAAATATAATATAATTTTTAATAATTAAAGTAAATAAAAGAAATATATTAATATATTAATAAAAATATTTTAATTATTTTAATAATATTAATTAAATTAAATTAATATATATTTTTATTTTTATTTAATATTAATATTTAATATATTTATTAAAATATTAAATTAATTTTAAATTAACTTTAAATTTATTTTAAATTTATTTTATTATTTATTTATTTATTTAAAATATATTTAATAATTATAATTTATTTTTAATTATTAAATTAAATTAATTTAACTTTTTTATATTTATTAATATATATAATAATTATTAATATAATAATTATATTTATTATAAAATTAATTTTATTAAAATTATATTTAATTATTATATTTTAAAATAATTAAAATATATTTTTAATAATTTTTAAATCTTTATAAAAATCTTTTTAATAATTATGTAAATAATTAAATATAATTTTTACATTAAATTATATATTTATAAAATATTAAGTTTAATATTATATAATATTAATAAAGAGTTAATTATATTTTTATATTAAAAACTTATAAAAAAAGTCCTTAAATATTTTATTTAATTATATATTTAATAAATACTTATTTTTTAATTTAATTAAATTTATATTAATTAATATATATATTTTTATAAAAATATTATTAATTTACTTTATAATATAAAGTTTATTTTAAAATATAATATTTATATTATTTTTTTTTATTATTAAATTATTTAAAAGATTTAAAAAAATTATTTTTTTAAGTAAAAAATATATATTAAATTTATTAATTTTTAATATATTAAATATTTAAATAAATAAATGAAAATAAAATTAATTTAAAAAATTAAGATATAATTAATATTAAAAAACGTTATTTTATATAAATTTTAATAATTTTTAATTAATTTGCTTATATTAAATAAATATTAAAGTTAATAAAAATTAAATAATATTAATAATTTAATAATAAATTAAATTATAAATAATTAATAAAATATTTATAATTTAATAAATATAATTAAAAAATATAAATGCAACTTTTTAATTATTTTTATATTTTAAAAAAAATAATAATTAATTATATAATAAAAATTATAATATATTTTAAAATTATAATTTTAATTAAAAATTTAATTACATTTTATTTTTATTAATATATATATTATAAAAATTCTTAAAAACTTCTTATTAAATAAATTATTATTAAAATTAATATTTAATCTTAAAATTAACTTTAATTAAAGTTAAAATAAAAATTAAATCTTTTAATAATTATTTATAATTATTTTATAAAATTATTATAAAACCTTTTAAAAAAGTAAATAATATATTTATAATAAAATAAATATTAAAAAATAATTCTATTTTTTATTATATATTTTAATTATATAATTAATATTTTAGATAATCTTTTATTATAAATTTACTTTAAAAAATTATATTAAACTTAAATAAAAATTAAAATATTATAATTTCTTTTTTTAAAAGCTTTTTTATTATTATTTTATTAAAAATAAATTAAACCTTTAATAAGCTATGCTTAATTATTTTTTTTATTTTAAATATATTAAAAGTTACTTTTTATATTAATATTTTTAACTTTATAATATTTTAATTTAAAGTTATTATTTTTTATTAAAGGCTTATAATAAATTAAGTAATTTATTTTTATTTATATAAAGCTTATATATAAATTAGTTAAAATTATATTAAAGCTCATTTATTAATTTATTTTATTAATTGTTTATAATATAGCATTTAAGGGGTTTAAATATTATTAATTTAAGGTTTTTATAGCTTAAAATACTTTTTATAAGCTTATTATTTATTAGCATTTATAGTGTTTTCTTGCTTTTATGCTTATTAATTAATAAGGCTTTAAATAAGGCCTTAGTTAATTAAAAGGAAAATTTTTAAAAAAGATTTTAATAATTATAATACGGTTTAAATTTATGCCTTTTATAAAAAAAAAGCTAAATGCATAACCAATATGCTATATAATTATAAATAATATAAGAAAATATAATTTTATTTTATTATTATAAATTTATTTTTTTAATTATAAATAATTAAAAAATGCTTTAAAGTATTAAAAAGTAATTAAAAATAAAAGGTAAAAAGAGGGTTTTTAAGTTTCCTTATAAATAAAACATAAATTCTTATATTAAGCTATATATAAATTTTTATATTAGCTTAAGGCTAAGGAATAATTAAAAAGCTATGCAAACAGCAGATAAACCAATGAACAGTTGATTTAAAAAAAATAGTGCGGCCGAAGCCTGAATATAGTAAGTCAGTGTGCTTAGCTGGAAGCTAAGCATAATCTGTCGGCATTCACTCGCTCTTCGTCGCCACCGCAGGCGATCGCTTTATCCCGACTCCCAACACAAGCAGGATCCTCGTGAGCACCATGGGCGCGGTACTCGCAAAGGCCACCCAGTCCTCCCCAGTCCAGTTCTCAATCTTCATATAGTTGCCCCAGCCTCCTACCCCCTGAGCCGTGCTGTGGCAGAACGCAAAATCGCTCAACAACATTCCCGTACACAAGACCCTCCAGAGTGCAAGATCATCAAACAGGCGCAGAACCACAGCCTCGACAAAGGCGAAATACAGCCAAGAACCACCCATGGCTGTGTAAAGAAATGTTGTATCAGGTGCGAAGGCGACGGAGTGGCGCGTGACACTGCCAAGATAGGTACTCGGATCAACTAAGACAAGCACTGATCCCATCAGAGCAAAGAAAGGCTCGACTGTCAGGAGAATTAGGCGGGAGATGTAGGGCACGCTGGCCTTCGCCGAGGCTTTGTGAGGCATTTCGTGCGCTTGGGATCGATATGATACTCCGAATGCTCCCTAAGCAAGACACGACCACTATGGGGTCTGGGGCGGACGCCGAAGAGTGAGGAGGCACAGCAGTAATGGTGGATTGGGCGGAAAGCAGATACCGAGGGAACAAAGACTTGGGTGCCAAAGGGAGGGAATTTAGCATGAGATTAAGGGTTGCACGACACGTGAGCTGAAACTTCAAATTGAACACGCCCGGGCCTCCGTAACTGGGCTTCCTTCCCTCGGTACTTGGTTCAGTCTTGTTACTCTCGAATTCAGTACCTGGGCCAACTTAGCTGTCACTACAGAATAAGAGGTCGCACGCCTAAATTTTGTGTGATTTTTGGTGAACATTAAATCCCGTGAAAACGAGTGTCACCTGATCTTCAAATCACGAAGTGTTCATGTCACAATTGGTGCCTACTGTAGGTACCTAGCGTTATCTCACACCCGGTGACTTTGGAGTGTTAAGTGTTAGCAGGTACCTCCAGTGCGCGACCAAGACCGTGGGCATAATATTTACTACCGAGCCTTTGAAATCGACAATGAAGTGGATCATCAGGCTCGTTATTATGGGCAATGGTTAGCTACGGTAACAATGTGCAGCTCAGGAGTCTGGCACAGGGTAGCCATCGGCTGAACGTTGTAGCAGTTCGGGGGAGCTTGACGCACCCGTGGCTGAGGTCAGTCTCTGTCAAAGATTTCGAGCCTCCATCTACACATGTGCTTGATTGTGTATCCATAGCTAAGAATGAGCTGCATGCTAGTAAATATCGGAATAGCGCTCTCTTACCCATCATGTTGTGATTTACCGCTTCAGAAAGCTGGGCGACTTATACGGATCTGATCACTTGCCTACATGAGGCAAATGTAGAATAGAAGTTGTAATAGCGCGAGCCCTTCCAGGAGGACTTGGGGGGGGGGGTTTGTGATTTTTCGATATCATTCTGCCATGCACCTCTTCCCGACGCCAAGCCATAGAGTCTCGATCGCGAATGCACGGTTCTATCCGAACAGAGATCATGTCGATCCCTGCCTTTGTAAGGCGAGCAGCGGCATTGTATGTAACCTAGACTGAAGACAATTTCCCTGCCCTCTCCCAGCCCAGTACGTATTTCTTAGGCATCTCGGGTCTCGTGGCTCTTACCGTCGCCAGAACTTCTTTTCATGGTAGCATTCTCGTCCTGATATATCCCGAATTCCATGAAAATTTGCTGCGCTTCTTCCACGTGCTTCCGCCACTAAGCCGGCCTTTCTTATGTGCGCTGTGGCGCGCTGTGGCGGATACACCTGGTCCAGCTACATCGTACGATGGTAGCAGATATAGCTCCGTTTTGCTAACGGTGGAGGAAGGTACCCTTCTAATCCAAGGATAATATTATTTTGAGCCCACCGAGCGAAAACAGAGGTGGAACCAACACATACCACCCGGTATGCTAAGAATAGATGTATTTCACAGGACGGATTGGGTGCTTCACCGACAGCCGGGCACGCGGAGTTCATCGCTTGAAGCTTCCGACGCTTCCGAAGGCAATTGCCACTTCGTTGGCCGTGGAAAGCATGCCGCAGGCCAGTCAGAAAATGCTTGAGTAGTAAATTGACCAGGAGTCCTGAGCTATCGAAGGGACAAAGCGCTGGGGTTACATTGGAGCCTTGTACATGCGATTGGTGCACACATATACAGCAAGTAGAGGAGCTTGACGGCCGGAAAGGTCGGCAGAGCTCAAAGACGGGAAACTTTATTACCTGTTCTTCATTTGGGCACGAAGATGCTCGAGCGGCTGAAGGACGAAACCTTCCAGTCAACGCCCTTCCAGACTCCACGTCTAAATCCAGTGGCTTCAGCCGCGCGAGACTATGGCCTAGTGTCTGATAGGCTTTCATCTGAACTGCTGAGAGTTGGCTGGACACGCTCTGCGAAGTAGAAGCGACGAGCTTGCACAGCCGTCCCCTCCGCCTTAGCCCCCTCGCCAGATGAAGAAGTCTGTTTCTTTTGAGCCTTCAGCTTGTACTCACCATTTGCTTTCCAGCCGTCGTATTCGTGGCTATCTCAGCAGTCGGTTGTCCTTGCGAATCCTCCGAGTATATCGGTCCTCCATAGATAAATAGAGCGCGTCCCCCCCACCGAGACGTTCAAAAGTTCAAAGCTGAATCACCATCGGGCAGAAGAAAAATCACCACGATCATTACCACGCTTCCGCTCCCGACATTACACACCATCTCCTCAGACACCACAGTGCTACCGCGACAAAATTACTACACAACTTTCACCCTGCAAATTATCACAGTCGTGTCCATCCTCTCATTCTTCTCCACTGCGTCCAGCCTGGCGGTTGAAAGAAGGGTAGTCCACGACTAATCGACCATTTCGCCACGACAGTTTTGCAGTAACGACGGCAACTGCTTTGGTGGCGCAAATTGTTGCAGTGGGTCATGTCAATTCGGTAGCTGCCGCATTGACGGGACTTGCGACGCGAGCAATGACTGTTACGGGTTCTGTGGCAACGATGCAAATGCAGTTTGTGTGGCTGGAGACTGCCAGTGCTCTCAAGGGACGTTCTGCTGAAAAGTTAGTGGCACTGGGGGGGATACCCACCGCACTGGAATCCGACTGCTTGATGGCTCTGGGACAAGACACGAGTAATTTAGTCAATATGTAATGAATGGGAATTGTCACATCACAGCCAATACATCATTCCTAGAAAGCGCATGACGTCACAAGTACGAGTTTGCTTATCGATCATGGACCGTGCCCAGTGCGGAGGTTTATTAGTGTATGTGTTTACAATCCCCGACTCCAAGTCACACGTGTTGCGTTGCCGCCGACCTAAGCTTAACCAAAGCGGCTTCGTGATAATTCTGGTCTCGCCGCACTTTATCGGAGATATGAAAGCAGTGTACGGGCTGTGCACGACAGGACAGGTGGTCAGCGGGTCAGGTGTAACTCCCGGGAATACTCTAGACTTGGGAGGCCACCTATGGAATAGGACACCTATGCACGCACTTCGCGTCCTGGGGCGACACAAGAGGCGTGTGAGTGAGGTTGCTCGAGCAGGCGTCGGAAAAATCAAGGAGGTTGAACCCAATCGCAGTCAGACAGATCTAAGCAGCCCGGACAGACACAGGGCGAGAATACTTTTGATCTATTTTGGCGAAGTCGAGATGTGCGAGATTGGAGGTCGGCCAATCTCGCACATTTGATTGTGCGCAATCAACCAAACCCCCACCCCCATCCCTTGGCCTGCAACGCTCTCAGGTTGAACAACCACAATAGATAAAGCAGCCCTGTCAATTGATTTCCTGTATAGGTCCCCGTGTTGGAAGCGACGGGTGATTAGAACCCGAGTTCTCGAACAAAATCGCGGGATAGACGGCTGTGACCCCGTGATGTAACGTTGAGTACATGGCTGCGATGGGCAAGATGTAACCTGGCGAAGTGGGTATTTATCAGGTGGCTTGCCGCATGCCTAGAGGTCTTTCAGAACCTTGGTCACTGAGTTCCTCTGTCACCGCCTCCTTGGGAAGCTCGCCGGCTGTCAGTATGAGGTTCGACCCCCTCACCAAATCGATTCTTGTTGCCCTGCTTCAACAAGCAACGGCCTTGCCGCCGCCGAGTCTGCCCACCGCTGCCGGGCCATTCACATACGACAACAGCTCGTTCTTCCTTCATGGAGAGCCATTCACCATCATCGGGGGACAGATGGACCCCCAGCGTATTCCCCCGGAGTACTGGAGAGACAGGCTAGCCAAAGCTAGTGCCATGGGTCTGAACACCATATTTAGCTACGTGTACTGGAACTTGCTAGAACCAGAGCCTGGGGAGGTATGGAATTCCCGAGGGCAGTCCTCCCTGTTCAGATTCTGCCATGATCATCACCTGGGACTGTCTCAATCCATTTCGCAGGGCTTCCCCTTTGTTGCATGCGGGAGATGCGATATACAAGATGGTGGACTGTCCTTGCTCCTCGCATGGTGCCTCTCCTTTGGTAGTTTGATCGCTGACTCCGGATGCTGCAGTGGCGAAGCAATGAGCCCTCGAATGATATAGCCAAGTATTTCGAAATTGCGCAGGAGGAAGGATTGTCTGTGGTCTTGCGTCCTGGACCTTACATTTGTGGCGAGCGAGACTGGGGTGGCTTTCCAGCGTGGCTGAGCACAGTTCCTGGGCTGGCTGTAAGGACTTACAACGAGCCGTATTTAAACTACTCGACAAGATACTTGGAGCGTCTAGCCGCCGATTTGCAGCACCTTCAGGTCACAAAGGGCGGGCCTTTACTAATGGTGCAGGTCGAGAATGAGGTCAGTAATGTCTCCCAAGTACTTGCAAATCCGTTTATGGACAAAGAGTGCGCAACACATTGTCTACCTGGTGCTTCCGAGCAATACTGCTGTGGAACACCTTTTCTGCACAGATCTCTAATTACAAAACTGGATAGTATGGATCTTACGGGTCAAACCATCAGTACACAGAGGCTCTAAGGGATATCCTCCTGAAGAACTATGATGTTCCCTTGTATACGTACGTGGTACATGTGAATCGCTTTTCCTGTGGACATTCGGTGTTCTGTGTTGACAGTCTGTTTGTTCACAGCAACGACGGAGGCGTTGAATTCACTTTGGTTGGAGGGAGTGTTCCTAATGTAAGTGCCTCTCCGAGCCCCTTGAAATCCTGCGCGTATATGTACAACATGTATCCAAGCCCAGATCATGTTACTTTTGCAAGCTAGGTTATACGCACAACCTGGTTACATCACCTTTTCACATAACCAATGCGCCCAAGCTATCATCTAACTCGAAGAACCAAAGGTGCTCGCAGCGATCGATGGCGACCCTCAAGGCGGCTTTGCGGCTCGGGACAAGTATATAACAGACCCATCAAAGCTGGGACCACTCCTCGACGGCGAATACTATGCTCTTGCGCCTGATACTTGGGGCTCGGAAAACCCCCATAACATCGCCAAAGACAGCGATGTTGCGCGATTTGTGCAAGATCTGGATTGGGTACTGGGAGCGAACAATTCTATTAGTCTATACGTGCGTGCTATATCCATTCCACCCCCAAACTCTGCATGTGCATCTCAGCTCACATCCGTAAGATGTTCCATGGGGGCACCAATTTCGCCCTGGGAAGCGGTTCTATCTGGAGAAACAAGACCAGTGCCTTCACTACAAGCTACGATTACGGCTCACCTCTCGACGAGAGTGGACGGACCACGGATTACTACTTCACATTAAGAGATACCATCAAGAAGTATTCAAATCGCAGCCTTCCGGAACCGCCAGCAAATGTCCCACTTTTGAGTATTCCCGAAATCCAGCTGGTGCCTAGGGGTCGGTTATTAGACACAACAGCCACAAGCACATCGAGCGACTTTCCAATTACAATGGAGGAGCTCGGCCAGGACTACGGCTTCATACTATACGAGCACGAAGTTACACAGGTCATGTCCGGTCTTCTCCAGCCCGGTGACCGCCCCAGGGATCGAGTGATTGTCTACGTGAATGAAGCGCGCATTGGTGTAATTGACAGCATATGTACGTGCAAGGTCGCATTATTTGTCATGGCCCGTTCAGTGCCTTGGAACGCCCACTGACAACCCTCTCCACCTCTTCTCGTGTCCAACCGAAGAACAAGGGCGCGGTGTTGGCTTCCTGATAAGTAGCTGACAGAGCAAAGACCAGTACCCGAGGAATATCACTTTGGATGTTAATCCAGGCGACACAGTTTCACTCTTGGTAGAGAACCTTGGGCGAGTGGATTATTTCTCGCTTGAAGCCTATACTTTCGATGGCCTGACTGATCCATACAAGGGCATCGTGGGAAATGTGACAATCGGAAACTCCACACTCAAGAGCTGGACGATTAAATCATTCCCTTTGGGAGATGTACCGCCATTGGCTTACAACGCAAACACGTCAGAAGCTGCAGCATCACCACTGCTCTACACTGGGGCTTTCAAGGTCCCGGACTGCTCCAGCTCGGCAGAACTCGACACTTTTATTGCAATCCCTAATGGTACAAAGGGTACGGTATGGGTAAATGGCTTCAGCCTAGGAAGGTATTGGATTATCGGGCCGCAACAGTCACTTTACCTTCCAGGCACTATTCTCAAGGCTGGGCAGTTCAACGATATTGTGGTACTCGAACTTGAGCCAGATTCAGACCGGCCGATGTTTGCAGAAGGTGAAGCAGTCCGCACGTGGGGAAACAATCCTGATCCAGATTACATATAGGCTGAGTCTAAAACTGATTGGATTTGAAATGATCGGTTTCTGTAGTCTCTCGTGTGTCCTGTACATATATCGGGCTTGGCTCTATTCCGGTCACCAACGCAGCGGAGTTAAAATCGCGCTCCAGGTTGTGAACATACTAGGTTTGTGCTTCAGTCTGGCCGCTACGAGCTCGAGTATCTAATTATCATGCTGGGGGTGGGTTTGGTGTATTGGGACAAAGTTCATGTTTTAAAGCTGTTCTTCCCATGTTAGAGATTATTCAGGTGCTTAGTCCGGGTAATCTATCGTCAAGTCCTCAAAAAGAACTGCAAGCCCGCAACCTTATCTTTGAGGCTGTTCAGGAACAGCTGCAAATATTACCTCAGAGTATTGTCATATTATTTCAGGATCGGAAAGGTCGCAAGCAACACTCGACAGCAATACTTGCGTGCCATGTGTGGTCCTTGTTCCTGTGAGTTGAGTTTACGGGAATCCCACCATGTATACCTTGAGTCAGTTTGAAGATTCCACCTCTAAGAGGCAACTAAGCTGCTACTTTAACAGACCCAGAAGATGTGCTTCTGTGTTGTCAGAGGAAAGGGATGAGAGTCAGGCCTATCGTCACTTGCGGGCATTCTATCTCAAACAGTATACCTTATTATGGGATTAGGCAAGGTAGCATGTGATCACCATGTCTGAAGACCCCAACAGTTGGCTTCACGAGGGCAAGAAATTGTGCTAATAGTGTGTGTAATGGCACCGTGGCGCAGCTGGAGAAGCGTCAGGCTGGCTTTCGCGTAATGGCAAGCGCAAGGGCTGCGGGTTTAAATTCCGCCAGTGCCCCAGTCTTTTTAAGACCTCTTAAGACGAATCTATTAAACTGCTGGCGAAATAGACCGCTCGGCCAAAAGACCAGTAATTTCCAATCGTAATTAGAAATACCCAGCAGTATATAAGTGCCGTACCGTCACACCTCTTCTGCCTATAAAAGGAGGGTTGCGGCCCTTTTAAAGCCTATATGGCTTTAATTAGCAACGGCTATACTTATTAATTTAATAAGGGTTTTCCCTTTATAAATAATTAAGCCTTAAGTAGCTAGTTTTTAGCTTTTCCTTTAAGTTTTTCATAATATGTTATTAAAGCTGGTTTTTCCTTAATAAATAAATAAGTATAAAAATTATTAGCTATATAAAATTGTAATGCAATTTAAGGTATTAAGGCTTGGCCCTTTATATAATAAAAATAGGACTTAATACTTTAAAAATACATTTTAAGGCATTTTAAAGACTTAAACCTTAAAATGTTGATTATATTAATAGTAGGACTTAGTAAATTACTTATTAAAGGCACGGTAGTCCATAGTGTGTGTAATAGTGAGGCGCGCCCCAACTGCCGGGTCGCGTCCCCAAATTGGAAGTTAAGTCCAGCTTACCAAAATTCGGATGACGATGTATTCATCGTGCATTTCTTGTGTTCACAAGCACCTTGCTGCTGATCACTCCAAGCATTTGACTGCACCACACCACCATCACTTATCCAGGTATTCCACACACTGTATTACCTACCCTCAATCACTTCAAGACCCATACCCACGGGACCGTCTGTTCCTTGCAGAGTAATAATCGCCACACCTGATTTGGTGAGTAGTGCAGGGCTGGCTTCCTGGTTCTAACTCTAGGCTACATGCAGTTTAACAATAATTATAGCCACTATTGGAAGACAAACTTCATGCGAGACTAATATACCCCGGTCTGCATTGGCTACACCATTTTGACTCTCAATACGGCATGAGGACGCTGCCTCGGCCCTGCTCAATCTGCTGTTGCGCTGGATATATGTCACGCGTTGCACAGCCCGCGCCTTGATCCCGTCCAACGTTCAACAAAGTGGTCTGAGGAGAGACTTAACGCTCTGCACCACTGGAAACATTCAATCAGCTCCCCTGGAAGACAAGCACGTAGCTCTCGTGCTCCAATATAGGATTCCTATCAACACCTGGCCCACGTCCGTCAAAAGTCTCCTCCGCCTCCGTCTCCTGATTTGAGTGATTTATCTTGAAACCCACGCACGAGCGCGAGAAACGAATTCGCAGAATACAACCAATGGCGTACGTGCCAGCCTAGAGGGGCCTTGCATAAAGAACGGAAGAGGAGTCCGATCTGGCATTACCGACATGCTGGCGTCACTTGGTGTCTAAGCTAGTGTGGTCTCTAGCCCCAATTCCAGGCCCCTAATGCTGTTTCAGAATATGGCATCAACGATGACCTCATACTAGATTTGCCCCAAAAGTTGCACATCTAAAGTCCAGGCTTTCTTACTCCTTATCATAAACTACCAGCAATTCCCACAACAGCTTTTGAACCAAGAGTCTCGGCCACACAACTTGACCCAGAGCCAAATGAGCCACACCATGGATAAACTCAAAGATATGTTGTGAGTGCAGCTCATTTCTAGCATTTAGAGCCCCCAGAGGATGTTAACAATACCGCAGGTCATCTCGCAGCAAGAATGACAACGATTATGCCCAGCCCAGTGGGGCTACTGAGGGCGCCACTTCCCCAACGGAGGCCACGGTGAAGAACTCGCTTGCTCAAGGTCACCTGAAAGACGATACAACAAGCCGAGAGGTCCAGATTTCGGCTCCAGCGGAGCTCACCGGCTTGACTGGACAATACCGTGTTGGAAAGGATGACAGCCTTGTTTCGGACAAGTAAGTCAGGTGGCTATGCTTCCCTCCCACAATACGAAGACTGCACAAGCTAAACATGTTGCAGAGAGCGTCAGAAACATGGTACTGCCAATGGTCTTGCTTCTGCTACGATGGCGTCTGGAGCAATCGGGGAGCAGAACCCATCACAGTAATTATTAAGCTAAGACAGAGGTAGTATTTTAATAATAATAATAAGTTATAAGAGTATATTATAGTGATATAACGCTTATATATTGTTAAATATCTTTAATTTAAAGGATTAAAAATTATTAATCTTTAAATTAAGTAATTTATTTATTAATATTTATTATAAATACAACTTAATAAATATAAAGATTAAAAATTTAAGCGTTTAATAAGGGATTTTAATAATTTATTTATAATCTTTATTTAAACTATTCTTTATATACTTTATTTCTTTTTATTATTAAACTTAGGTTAATTATAATTAATATAATAATATATTAACTTTTTATAAGGTTATATTTATAATGGGCATGCCCATGGATCTCTGTTTAATTATGTAACCTAATACTATGGGTATATAGCTGAAAGCCGGAGTAATGCCTTTGGCTTTTTTCCTTAATTCTTTATCTTTCATATTCTTACTATATTAAATACCTATGGTAGTAAGCCCTATTATATTATAAAAGACCCTTTTTTTTACTTTAGCTAATTAAAAAGAGTACTGCTTTATTTTTTTTAATTCCTATTTTAAAATAATTAATTCCTTAAATTACCCTTATACTTAATTATTAAACATTATAATGGGCTTGGGCTATTACCCAAGCCATAATGCATGCCCATGCCGGGCCCATACTGCACCTAACCCTTTTACGTAATAAGGTATATACTTAAAAGATAAATCCAAGGTTAGGCCTTTTTAAGGCTTAACTTACTTCTTAGATATTATAATTCATAACTCTTTTTAAGTACCTTTTAATAAACGCTTAAGGCTAACTTATAATATTAAATTGCAATCTTTAAATTATATTAAGGAGGATATTTATATTATAAAGGTAAATAACCTTATACCTAAAATATTAACCTTTTTATAAAACGCGTAGCTAAGGATCCCTTAACTTACTTTAACATTAAGTTATAAAAACACTTAAGAAACGCCTTAGCCCCCTTAGCTATTTATAGTAATGCCTATTAACGCTAATAGCAATGCCGCTATATCTCTTTTTATGGCAATATTTTACCAACTTATAAAGCTTAAAGCATGCATAAACCCTTTCAACCTACCCTTAATTTAATATAAGTTACTCTTAATTAGCCCTTTATTTAATAATAGCTAAAATAGCTTCCTAGCTTAAAAAATTATAATGCAGCATAAGCTATAAATTAATATAAACTTTATTAAAAATCTTTAAAAATATTAAATCTTTTTATAAAGCTAGCTATTTATTAAAATATAATTATGCATTATAATATTTTATAAGTAGGGCAAGCTTTAAAACGGCTTTAATATAAATAAGTTCTTTAAATACCTAAAGCGCTATTATAAAAACCCATATTAATAAGTAGCTGCTTTAATTAAGCTTAAGATATTTTAAATGCAAAATTATAATAACTTTACTTAATTTTATATTTAATTTAAATAGCTAATGGCATAAGCTAAAGGCCTTAAATAATTAAGTAAAGTAAAGCTAAACTACTTTTATAATTAGCTTTCTCTATAACTTTATAATAAGGCCATTAAGGCATTAATCTTATATATAAATTATAATAAGGTAATAAATATATATTATTAAATTGCTTATAAGCTAAAGGCATAAAACCTTAAGCATTAGCAGCACATAGGTTTAACCCTATGCCCCTTAAAGCCCCTAACTTAAAGGCAATAGGTAATAAGTTAAAATATAGCAATAATAAATATAGCTATAACGGGCATAATAAGGGGCTAAGGCGCTAAGAATAAAGAGCCGTAAGGGCATTAAGGCGCCTCTTCCTCTCAGCTAACTAGCGGCTAAGCTAAGGTGCCCTAAATCTTTAAATTTAAAAAAAAGGCCTAACAAGAATATAAAGCATGCCTACATTGCAGCCAATAAAGATACTTTATAGTAAATTATAAACTCCTTTTTATAGCTATGTTAACCTAAATTTAAGTTATAAAGTTAGCTATACCTTATAAAGAAAACCTTATTAGCCTTAAGGAAAAAGATTAGCTTTTAAGCAAAATCTTGCTTAAAAACATAAGCCCCCTTTATAAGCCTAATTTATATAAAAATAATATTAATAAGTATAAAATAAATTAAATAAGCCTTCTTTCTTAATCTTTATTATTATAAATTATAAGCATATCATTATTACTTAAGTAAATAATAAATATAGCTATTATGCCGCTATAAATAAATAATAGGTGCAAAAGGCAAAACTAAAGTTAATAGCTTTATCTACCTTAAGAAACCTAAAGATAATTATTAATTTACTGCAAAGCCAACATATTATATATATAATATGGCTTTCCTTAAATATTAATGCATAATAAGCCCTTATCTTAGCCTATATAGTTCCAAGCATAGTTTATTTCCTTTTGCTAAGCTTGCCCTAGTTATGCCATTATAATATCCTGCTAAACCCAACCCACGGCCATATAGTAATTAACGCGGCCTAAGGGATGATTATAAAGAAGGAGGGCTAATAAAACATAAATAGTTTAACGTAGTTAATTTCTAAAGCAACTATAAGAATATAAATAAACTACTTATCCTATAATAAGATAGCAAACATTACCTTAATAAAAATAAGCTTAAATAAGGTTATATAAATCCTTTAAGCTATAACTCTTTAAAAGAAAGATAATAATAATATAAAGCAGCGCAAAGCTAAGCCCTTGCTAAAAAAGATATAAAACTTTATTAGCCTCTTTAATAAAGATTAAGCTTCCGCCCTTTTACCACATTAAAATTAATTTAATTATTATATTTATTTATTATTAATAAAGAATAAGTTTATATTAGCATTATTATAAGGCCTATTATATAATATACCTTGGGATTAACTACTTAAGCTATAAAAGCAAGTTATAAAACTTTATAATAAGGGCTAAATAAAAGCTAGCTCCTTGCCCACAACAGCCTTAATTCTCCTAATGCATAAGGTAAATAAAGGGTAGTGGTTTTATATAAACTACCATACTCTTAATAAAATAACTTAGCAAAACCATTACCCCCTCCCCCTTATTAAGGAAACACTACATTCCCTTTTTAATGCTTAATAATTTATAAAGTTAGATATTCATGCAACTTTTTACTAAATATAAATAGCAAAGAAGTAGGAGCACCTAACGGTATTTTAAACCTAATTTAAGTTATTTAAATAATTAATTTGCCCCTTTAATTTATTTAATGCACTCATTATATTTTAGCGATATATTAACTTAATCTTAGCTAATATCTTAAAAAATTATATAATAACATACTTAAATAATATATTAATATTCTCCTTAAGCTTAAGAAGAAACTATATAAGGAAGGTATAAGAAATCTTACGCTACTTGCAAGATATTAAGTTAAACTTAAATTAAAATAAGTATAAGTTTATAATAAAGAAAGTAAAGTACCTAGGCTTTATCGCTATAGCTAAAGTAGGCATTTAAGTAAACCTAAAAAAGGTTAAGGCAATTTAAGAATAAAAGGTATTATAAATAATTTACGGCATTTAAAGCTTTATAAAGTTTATAAACTTTTATTACAATTTTATTAAAAACTTTTTTAAGATTATTAACCCCTTTCTTCATTTTACCATTAAAAGGACTTCTTTTTAATAAGGAAGCAAGGAAAATACAGCTTTTCGCCACCTTAAGGCAGCGTTTATAAAGGTATTAATTTTAACTAAATAAAATCCAAACCTAAGCGCAATAATAAAGGCAAATTGCTTAAAGATAGCTTTTAATGCATACTTATTAATTTAAAAAGAAAGGGCCCTTTACCTAATTACCTATTACTTTATAAAGCTTTCTTTAATGCAATAAAATTATATTATTTATAATAAGGAGCTATTAACAGTAATTAAGGCCTTAAAGGCATAATTACTTATATTTTAAAGCATATCCTATCTATTTATAATACTTATAAACCATAAAAACCTTAAATACTTTATTAGCCCTTAGCTCCTTTTAAAAAGGTAAACTTAATAAATTAAAACTTTATCCCTTTTTTATTATAATCTTTAATATTACCTAAAAATGCAAGCATAACATCTTAATGCATTATTATAACGGGAATAAAACAAAATAACCTTAAAAGAAAACCATATAATTAAAATACTTTAACTAATCTTAATAATAATCTTTAATGCCTATACTACTATGCCTATAAAGCCATAGCTATTTAATAAACTAGCATTAACCATACTTTAAGATAAGAAAGTTTAATAAAACTTATAATATAAAATTTATTATAAAGCAGTTATATTTAGCTAGCGGCAATTCCCTAAAAAAGCTAAAATAATAATTTAAATCATTAACTATACCTTTAATATATATAACGCGCTTTAATTTTAGGGCTAGCTATAGCTCTTAAATTAAAAACCGCTTACTATATTAATACTATAGCAAGCTTATAACTCTCTTATAACGAAATATTTAAAATAAAAAGGAACCTTTTAAATCCTTTTACGCAACTTTTATTAAGATAATATATTGCAAGTAGTTTAGCGTTTTATTTAAAACTATAACATATGCCGCTAAACCCAGCCTAATTAATAACTACAGCAAGGCCTGCTTTGCCCTATCCCTCTTTTAAACCGCTATTAATCCTAAATATTTATTAACTTTATAATAAACTTACTAACCCATAAAAGCAGCCTATATTATCTAATAATTATTATAAACTACCTCTTAAAATAAGTTCTCTTAAAAGCAATGCACTTTATAACTATAAAGAATTATATATAACGCTTTATTACTTTATAATAATATTACCATAAGTTCCCTATATCCATTATTAATAATTAAGGCTTTAATTAAACAAGAGCGTTTTAAGCTTCTTTATGCATTTAAGTAGGCATAAAACGCCTTTTATTTATAGTATATTACCTTAAGATAAATAACAGTATAAAGTGGATAAATTAAAAAGTATAAAAATACTTATATAATATCATTACCTTCTTATAAAATAATTAAGCTAATTACTTCCTAGCTTGC